AAGGATCACCATTCTTTTGATAGATATATTTGCATCCTAAACCTTTGTATAAAAAAAAAAATGTTATATGAAAAAGTCTAAATTCAAAACTCACTTTGATATCTTAGAAACAGAACAAATTTTGGTGCTGGGATGATTAATAAGATGAAGAAATCATTATGCAAAAGTTGATATAAACATGCCTTGGGAGTGGAGGGCGGGCTTCTTACCCCTAATTTTAGTACTTGAAATGTAAACCTGATGAACAAACTATTCCATTCTAGGCTTTTAGCAAGCTCCTGATCAGCCCCTTCTCCAGCATCTTTTTCAAATGTTCTTTTATTTTAAATGCCCTATCTTCACTTAGTCTATCAGCATACAAACTTGCCTCCATTTTCCACTGACAAAAGTTAGGCTCTCTGGTATAGTTCTCCTCAACCTCCTTCCCGATGTCTGCATATTAATTTCTGTCTACTCCTGCCTTCGCCTTCTTCCTAAGGAAGAATTGAGTCACCTCTTTTTCAAAGTTGCTGATTCATCCAGTGCCCCATATAAAATAAGAGGTGTAGCAGTGGTTAGTAGAAGGAAGAGGAGCAACGAAGATGAAGATGATGATGGTGACAATGACAAACACAAAAATCCTCCCTTGCTCCCTCCCAGGTTTCTTGCCCCCCTCCCTTTCAAAACCAAGTGGAGTTTCCTATATTTATTCTTTCTACAGTCTCACATGCCTGTTAATCCTTTAATTACACAATTTGCTTTTCTGTCTCCATCTGTTGGGATCACCTTCATCAAGAATAACCGTGATGTTCTTCTGTCCAGATGCTTTTCAGTTTTTATTTGAGAATTCCTTGCAGTGTTTGAGGCTCCAAATGAATCCCTGTTTACATGCTTTTACTCTCATGGCTTTTATGAAATCATGACCTTGTATCTCCCCCCCCCCTTTCTGTGATTGCTCTCCCAGTCTTCTATCTATTCTCCTAGTAGTTAGTGATTCTAGGAATCCATCCTCAATTCTCCCCTCCTTCCCAACCACCCACCCCCAAATTCTCTGGATGAACCATCCAATTCATCACTTCAACTGCCACATAGATGTTTTCACCCAGGTATTAATTTCTAAGATTTCGTACATACACGCGTACATACATACATATACCAATATATACGCGTGCAACACACACATCATATATATACTTATGGGAAAACTAAAATAACCTGAAAGAATTAATTCTCCTGCCCCATCCCCTACCTCATCTTCCAACCCCAACCTGTTCTTTATCTTGTTCTTCTATCTCAATACATGGCATTGCCTCCTCCAGCCCCTTACAAGCAGACCCTTTCTTTCTCACTCACCACATTAAAACAAACAAAAAAAAAATACTGTGTCACATAGATTCTTCATTATGATCACACTCTGAAAACTGTCCCCTTCCTTCCATTCCATATGCTATTATCTTTGCACTCAGTTCCTCACTATGTTCTCACAACTCCTGCCCTGTTCTTCTGCAGCCCTCCAGTCTGTCCCAATGACAACAGTGTGATCGAAAATACATTTCTATTGGTGCTACCAATACGCTTAAAAATCTGGATATTGCCCTCCCATTGCGTATAGGGCAAAGTTTGTGGATTTTATTGCAATAAAAAAAACCCTACATGAACTGGTCTAACCTCCTGCCTCTCATAGCCAGTCCTCATTTTCACGCTAAACTCTGGTCACATTTAACCACAAAAAGTTCCCTGAACAATGTACTCTTGTGACCTCACACCTTGCACACGCTGTTTTCTCCTCCTTAAACCCCTAACCTCTTCTCATAACTAGCTCCTATTTTCTCTTAAGTCTCATGGTAGGTACCATGCTTCACCCATGAAGACCTCCATTACCACCCATCCTCTTCACCCCTATACCATGGACACATACTGTAGCAACCCCTGAACCTCTCTACCACAGAATTTTGTACACATAGATATAACTGCTCACTTGTTTGTCTCTGATCCATAAATCTATAAACTCCTAGAAGGCAAGGATTATGTCTTATTCTCTGCATTTATCTAGCAGCTACACAGTGCCTCAAGAAGTCAACAGGTTTTCAACAAATGACTACTTAATGCAAGAATAATACAAAGAACAATTGTGTCTGAGATATTACGTTCTTAGCTGAGTGAATTTATAACTGGTACTCAAGTTTAGCTAACATAATAGAAAATTGAAAATAACTTTGTTTACATAAATTAAAATAATTCCCCCCAAGAACTAACTACTGCAATTTATTTTAAAAGATTAAAACACTAAAAATTATACTCTGACTTCATTCAAAGTCAAACCTTGACATGATGTGCACACAAAATCAGCTTTTAGATTTTAACCCACAGACGAAGAAGTTCAAAATAATTGCAACTGTAAAGGCTCTGAGCCAGCCACCTGCACCCTATAATAAATCACTTGGCATTTTCTAAGTTCATATCAAATCTTTCCTTCTACATATGCTAGTAACTTTGAGGTTTTCCCCATGTTCTGTTCCTTTAAAAAAAATCTTTTATTAGCTTTAATATGCAAGATAATTCACCTTGTGCTGGAGTTACAAAGTACTTATAATGTATAATGTTTACTTGAAAATAATCTAATGCTTAATGATTTTAAATTCAAATAAACACCACAAGGAAACTTCTGATTTCCCTAGAGAAACATTAAATTGGCTACACTGGAGCTAGTCAAGTTATTTTAATCATTTGTCTGCTTAAGAAAGACCCTATGTCATTATGAAACTAATAATATGTGAAAATTCTCAATGAGGTTATGCTCTTGCTAAAACATAATATGTGCAATTCACTTATACCTACGGAATGCAAGCACACTAATACTAAATGACTGCAAAAAATGAAGATGATAACCTTCTCCTTCCCCCATTTTCAAATAAACAGAGGATTATGGCTGATAAGAAAAATATAAACATACTATCATAGGGAGAAACTTCCTGTAGTAATGTCCACGTATGTAATTCCATACATATTTTCGGTAGACATATAATACAAACAATGGATCTGAACATTAATAATAATTGCACTTGGATTACATATGAAATAAATAAGATACTTAAAATGGCTCTCTCCCTAGAAGAAAAGAGATTACAATACACATATTATAAATTTAATTTTTAAAAATTATTTTCTTCATAATATTTATATTTCTGACATTTTGTTACAGATCTGTGTATTGTCAGTTTCCCCTATGAGAATATATGATCCATGACTTTATCTTTAATTTTTTATTCCACTACTGTTTCTAATATTAAGACCAGTAGCTGACATACAACAGATACTCAATAAGTAAATGATAAACTAGTAACACAAAGTTTTCCTGCAGCCCTCTCACCGATTACACAATCTTTTCAAATTAAAAACACCCAAAGGCACCTCTAATATTAGCAGAACAAAAAAAATTAGTATATCTCCTATATATCAAATAAATCATTTTACTCTTTTCTACATTTGTAATCTAAATAAATCACATTTATGTAAAGACTAAAGGGTGGAAAAGATTTTTAAATTAAAAATATAGTTAAGAAATTTGTATCCTTTAGAGTGTGAAGGATATGAGTACCTAAGAAGGAATTTGAAGGATTCATAATAATTTGAAGATAAATATGAGGAATAACCATTACTTTTCAGGCATGTCTAAAATATTACTATAGCATACAGAATTTAAATGAAACTGGACCGTATAGGTATAGATCAAGTTGTTTTTTATTTGCAAATTATTCATAAAAATATGTATTGCAAACAAGCCAAAACCATTTATAACTATGCATAATATAAATATTTGACTGGCAGCACACTGAATGAAATAAATACACACACACTTTGTATGCATGCCAAAAGAAAGCAAATTCTTTTATATATTGTTCCACAGTTCACCACTTCTAAGAACATGTTTAGGCATGCTACATTACTCTAGGCTTTATACTAGTCTTGTAACCTCTGAAAAATACAGAATTTAATCTACTATTTTTAATATATGTATTATAGGATTCTTTCAGTATATTATTTAACATTTTTATGCAGGTAAAGGAGGAAAAAAATGGTAAAAGTATCTGATATAGTTTAAGTGAGTTTTAGTGGGAGAGAGAATGGCATTTGGCTGAACAATGACTACATTTTTATTTTTCACTGATGCACTCACAAATGCAAAGGGCTTTAATTCAGTCCAATCGAGGCACCCCTTAAAAAATGTAAGAATGATACAATGAGTTCTAGGGGTTGAAATAAAACCTCTGTGATACTTACCATACTGTGTAACAAATGCTATACAGCTGTTCACGATAATGGGAACGTCATTTTTGCTGAGCTGCTGATCTTGTAATGCGTTACCATCTGTACCTGCTGCTTTTTCAATTGCAGTATGCCAGACTGTGAAATCCAACTTGGTATGCCCATGGATGTATAATGTTCTGTAAAGTTTAAAAAGCATTTCAAATTATAATTTTGCTTTAAAAAAAAAAAAACAAAACAAAAACAACTCTCAGAAAGAGAAATACCACATGTCCTCATTCATAAGGTGGAGCTAAAAAAATAAACAAATAAAAAAAGACAGACACAATAATTCATTGAACTTTGAAAAGGAGGGAACAGAACTGAGACCACTAGAGGTGGGAAAGGGGTAGGGGGAGGGAC